GACATGGCCTTTTAAAAAAAAAATGGTGTATAAACTGAACTACTTACTTCCTCAGAGAATCAATAATATCCATAGAAAAGTTTTCATCCCAGCCACAGTCCAAAAGAAAACGAAATTCATCTACTTGCAACAGATAACAAAGGGCAGATTCCTCCTGCACCCCTGAAAGCGTAGTTAACTTGATAATCGATGTCATTTTCCTCTCCAAGTGTTTAATCTCCAAAAGAACTAATCTGAAGAGGGCAGAAGAAAACGTCTCATTTACTAACACAAAGAAAAAAGTCTATTTATTTAGACTTCATACATTCCTGAAAATATGCAGGGTAACGGTGTTAACAATGTTCAATACAGCTGCTGGATACCAACTAAGTCTCAAATAGTAACGTTCTACTGTTATAGGTCTTCTGTTATAGAAAGAGGGGGTTTGTTGTTTGGGGGTTTTTTTTTAAAATATATAACTGTATAAAGCTTAAAAAAAAAAAAAAAAAAAAAACAAAAACAAAAAAAACCCAGAAACGATCGCTAGAAGCAGCGCAGTTAAGAGCAGCTTCCCGGGGCCGGACGGGGGCACTCGGAGATGGCGCACCCAGGGCCGCGACCCCTCCAACGCCCCGAGCAGGGGCACAGAGCCCGCGCTCCGCACGGGGGTCCGGGGCTCCAGCGCCCGCCGGGCCCTGCCGTCCAGGCCCAGCCTGGCGGGGCGAGTCTCGCCCGGTGGGAACGACGTTTCGGGTGCGAGCCCTGCGCCCACTGCAGTCGGTGAAGAAGAGGACGAGGAGGAGGCGGAGGACGAGAAGGAGCAGCCGCTACCTGAGGCGCTCAGCCCGGCCCGGCGCGCGCCGCACCCGCCGCCATCTTGCGGGAGGCGGGGAGAAGGGGATGGGCAAGCGGAAGGGTGGCGGGCGGCACCACCGCGAGCCCGCCGGGGGGGGGGGAGAAACGTCCCCCCCCGCCCCTGCGTGGCCCATGGTCGCTCCCGGCCCGCCCGTTCCCAGTGCCCTTGGTGCGGCCGCAGCGGGGCCCGGCGGCGCGAGCGGCGGTAACGACGGGGCCGCGCGGAGGGCGGGAGCGCTGGGGGTGCTTCTGTGGGACCGATGTCACATTTCTGCGGGAGTCCCTCGCTCCCTCCCCTACTCCTTCGGCCGGGACACGGCGCGTCAGCCTCGGAGCTTTATGACGCTCTTGCCCCTGCGGCCAGGGTCGTGCGGGAGCGGTCGGGATCCCAGGCGGGCGGGGGCAACGGAGCCAGGCAGTGGCGGGGCCCTGTCGCGGGGGAGCGCGGCCCGGGCCGCTCCCAGGGCCGGGGCCGGGGCCGGTGCGGGGGCAGTGCCTCCCGCCCGCTCCGCAGAGGGTGGGTGCGCGGCCGCCCCACAGCGGCCGCGGCAGGAGAGGCGTCGCCGGTGCCCGAGCGCGGGGCCTGGCTCTGGGAGACACTGCTGTGCTGTCGAGCTTAACTCCCTAACCTGGAAGGGATTGATTGGGTTGGAAAGGTTTGCTGTGTCTGTTTATTCTGGAGAAGGGAAGACTGAGAGGGGATCTCATTAGTGCATATAAATATCCCAAACGCGAGTGCCAGGTGCATGGTGACATACTCTTTTCAGTGATGCTCAGCGATAGGACAAGGAGCAATGGCCATAAACTGAAACACAAGAAGTTCCATTTCAACATGAGAAAGAACTTTACGTTAAGTTTGGCAGAACACTGCAACAGGCAGCCCGGGGAGGTCATGGAGTCTCCCTCTTTGGAGGCATTCCATAGCCACCTGGACACGTTCCTGTGTCACCTGCTCTGGGTGACCCTGCCTTGGCAGGCGGATTTGGACTAGATGATCTCTGGAGGTCCCTTCCAACTCTAACGATTCTGTGATTTTAGAAATGTCCTTTCTTATCTGTCAGCTCCCTGCTGAATGTGCAGCTTGTCTTTCAGTCTTGATACAAGTAATAAGGCATCCATCTACAGGAGTTTAAATTATAGATGTGTTTGTTTTACCTGGATGTGTTCTGTTTTACAGAAGAGCAAACTTGTGTAGAGTTGCTTTAATGGATAGATAGCTCTTTAAAATGGAACTATTTCATCAGGGATATCTTAAAAGAGATGGTCTATTTCTCTCTCTGTTTTAGGATGAAATCCTCTTTCCCAGGGTGAAGAGTTAATTAGGATTATTTCTAGGAAACATAGGTATGGGTTTGAGAACAGCACATGTCTCTTAGGATGTATGTGATGGCCTTCATGTTTATTATGTGGTTGTAGAATCCTAGTAAGTGAGAGTATGCAACAGTTTCCATGTGCAGATTTATTAGTAATTCTTGCCTGTTATGCTTTTCTTTCTAGCAGTCATGGTGAATTTACCACAAGTTGTGCGTGATCACTGGGTCCACATCTTTGTTCCCTTGGGATTTGTGATTGGATGCTATTTGGACAGATGGAATGATGAAAAACTGTCAGCCTTCAGAAACAAGAGCTTATTATATAGAAGGTCTGCTCTGTGATGCTTCTTAAATATATATATAGTTATTTTGCAAAGTGCTTCTTTTTGAGAGTTTTAAATATGACCAAAAACCACAACAGTCAAAATATTAAAGGAAAGAAATCCCTAAAAATTTCATCAAGCATTCATGAAGTGTTTTAGGTCACTAAATTGGGTCTTTAGGAGCCAACTTGTTTAGGAAAGAAAGGATTATTAACTGGTATCAAGTTCCTAGTCATGAAATGTGTAGAACACTATTTTGTCTCTCTCTAAAAGGTCAGCGGGAAACACGGTGCTTGAATTTTAGTTTTCTGTCTTAAGTTATCACATCACTTTTTAACTAAATACTTGTATAAATGTATGTTATTTAAAAATAATAACCAAGGTTTTAAAAATTAACTTCTTTTGGCAACTGCTATATCTTCACTGAATGATGTGATTATATCACCATCATCATGGCTGGGCCTCACGAACGAAGATTTGGGAAGGGCTCTACCCACATTTGCTACAAGTGCACTGGTGGCTAAAAAGGCCAAGATAGACAAGTCGAGTTGCAAAAGGCAGAGCAGAAAGACTCCTTAGGTGGTATATTCTGCAAGACACGATCCTTTTTGCATTGTCTTTTCTCCTCGAGAGTGATCCTGCGTGCGTTCTCAAAAGCATCAGCAGTGTTATAGATGGTGTGTCTCCAGACCTCCCGATTTGAGGCCAGAGTAGACCAGTTATGATGATCAATATGGCCAAGGCTGAGATGTTGTTTCAGGGAGTCCTTGTATCTTTTCTTCGGGGCTCCTCTCTTGCGGCAGCCGGTGGCAAGTTCACCACAGAGCAAGATCTTAGGGAGGCGGTGGTCCTTCATCCTTGAGATGTGCCCTGCCCATCGCAGCTGTGTTCTCAGCAACATGGCCTCAATACTTGTGACTGCTGCTTGTTCAAGAACAGATGTATTGGTCACATTGTGATTATATACACTGACAAGTTTGGGTTTACTGGCTGTGACTTCTCAGGGAGAATTTAGATTAGAGAACTTCAGGCATTGCCTCATCTATGTCACTTCTAATTCTGTATTAGATCATACGGTTAACAAAATGAGAAAAAAAAATCATGTTGCATAGTATGGATTAATAATGGCAATATTATCAGTTTACAGGTGATTTTTTTTTTCAACTCTGGTCTCACCTAAATTTTTGAGTAAGAAAGAAAACTTATTACATAATCCACCCCACAGGTACCTTAGCACTTTTCTTACGGCAGTTGCTGTGAACTTGGGATGCTGTTTAAGCATCTTGCAAAAATACCCTCTGATTACACACCTACCTCTCTTCCCAATAAAGTAATGAATTATTGTATTTAAAAGAAATAGAATTCTTCATTATGGATCTGATTAAAAGTGTGTTAACTCCTTAGAGGTCAGGTGTTCTGTGCTACCATTTAAATGAATGGAAATAAGAGGACTCAGTCTGTTCAAGCTTTGGAAAGAAGTTTATCAGTATTGAAAGATTTTTAACTGACAACTATTGCAAGGAAAGTTAAATTTGTACATAAATCTCAAAATTAAGCTATTGTAGAAAAATTAATTACATTTGTTCGTAACTATTCTATCAAAAAAATTCCTAATTTTAGTCTCTTCCCTCTGTTTTTCTTATTTCTACACAGGGAGCTGAAGCCTGGTGAAGAAGTGACATGGAGATAAGAGCTGCCGATGAAAATGAAGACATTTTTGTTTGATTCATCATCTTATCTCACATGTTGAAAGAACAGGATTATGATTTTTACCCTGAGAGCATACCACAGAAAAGGACACCTGCATTTCCTCAGTGCTAGTTCAATTTCCAATGATACTTTTTGAAGTTGATTTAATTACATGACTAATAGGTGTCCGGGAATTCCATTAGTCCATAAATGTTGAGAACATTTTGTCCTGTACTCTGGAAGTGAGAAGGAAGAATTATGTAATAAAGCAAAACTATGCAAAAATAATTTATGCTGTTATTTATCTGTATGGTATGGAATCTGTGTATTGAAATGGATTTTATATGGCCAGCTGCTGCACTGCCCCTGCCTGGCACCTTCTGTCAGCAGTGGCTCGTCCCCTAATTTATGAACTAACCTTCACAGGAATACTTCACATAGACACAGAATGTGGTTGGCAGTTGCTTGGTTTTCTAATTGAACGTGGACAAGTTTCTTTTCTGATTTCCTCTGTAGGCTTGTTTGGAACAGTGGCGAGTGGGTACTGTGGCTTTGAGACAGGAATGGGCAGGTGTGAGCGACGGGCAGCTGGCGAGCACAAGGAACCGGCGGCGCTGAGCCCTGGGACATAGGGGGAGCAGGCGTTCCCGGGGCAGCAGGGGATGGGGATTCCCGGGGGCCCGGGGCGGTGTAGGACGCGCCGATGGAAGAGCAGGACGCGCCGATGGATGGGCGGGACGGGCGGTGCGTGTGGGCCTCCCGCCGCGCGGGGGCGCTCGTGGCCCGTGACCCGCCCGTCGGCCTCCCACCCGGCAGGGGGCGCCCCCGCGGGGGCGGGGGGGCGGTGGGCCGGGCGCGGATGGGCGGTGGCGCGAGGCGCCGTGATTGGGCGGTCGGGTCACGTGGGGCGGGGGCTGCGGGCCGGCTCAGTAAACATGGAGTCGATCTTCCACGAGCGGGTGAGTGCGGGACGGAACGGGGGCCGGGCGGGACCCGCTGCCCCCTCACGGCCGGGCTGGACACACCGCCCGCGGCTCTGTGTGAGTGAGGAGCTGCCGGGCTGGGCGCCGGGCAACCCCCTGTGCCCCCTGCCCGGCACCTTCCGGCGGCAGCGGCTCGTCCCCTCCGCTCCATGGGGACCCGCGGCCCTCCCGCGCGGCGCTGCCGGTGCCTGGGCCCGTTCCGGCTGGACCCTGCCGGCTCTGCGGTAAAGGGAATGTCGTTACTACAGATCAGAATGAGTCAGGGCTGAGCCCCATCGGCCTCTTTGGCGCGGGGACCGCCCTTCTGGGGGCTGTAGAAATGGACCTCAGGTGCGGGAAGGTGCGGGCTGCACTTGCTCGTGTTTCTTGAGGGAGAGCTCACATGGCTGAAAAATGAGTCTGAAGGTGAGCAGGGTTGTCTCTGTGCCCTCAGACTCATCTCTTCACCGAGCCTGGCTTGTCTGAGGTTGTGTAATGAGCAGGAAGAGGGAGAGCTGTTAAAGAAATCCTGATTCATATACTGTGCTTCTGTGTGCTGATGAACAGTACTTCCTGTTGTGGAGAAGAAATGCTTCTATGAACTGCTGTGATTTTTCCAGGTTCCCAAATATGAACTTCTTCTGTTTAAATGTTGTTCAAATATAATTGTCTTTTTTCATGTACTTTACCAGTGTCTCTTCAGCTTTATTGTGTTAATCTTAATACTAGTCCTGTTACATTGTTTTAATGTGTAATGGTTGGTTTACTTAGGAAATTAAGCAAGATAGCAGTATAACTTCCTTAAAAAAATAAAATTACTGTTCTGAAGTACATAGAAATTGAGGAGTGTTCTTTCAAACTTGGTTTGGGTTGCAAAATTTGGCAAGTGCTGTGGTGTTAAGCAGCTGCCGTTCAGAGGATAAGTGTTGGATTTCATCCATTATGGCCTCTGCTACAATGACCTTGAGTTTCAGTCTAGGTTTGAAAATAGTTTAAGGGGAGTGTACCCTTCTCTTATCTGTCCTTGCCTATCGCATAATGAAATCATAACTTTTATTAATGACTAAGTCGTTTTCTAGTTTAATAACAAAACTGCTGAAATTGAAGTGACAAAGCATAATACATTCAAAGTTACCAGGTGATGGTATTTTTTAGTTGCTACAGGTTTTGGGGAAGGGGAAGTGTACAGTCTTGGGTCTCCCACATGTGAAACCTAACTGCTCCCTGGTTAGTTACCCAGTGAAAAAGTTCCACCTGAATGCCTGTTTTAAATTGGAATACCTAATGTTTTTATCCTGTTATTCTATTAAAAATGTAACTGAATCTCTGCCTTTTTTTCTTAAGGGGTATTTTCACCCCCCCACCCCCCTGTTAACTGCTGTCAATATACTTTGAAGTGCTGCATATACAGGCACGTTTGAATCTGCACACCTCAGGTGTTTCCATCAAAAGGCATGAGAAACATGGTATTTATAAAGGAAATTTAACAAAATAAGGAAGTAAGCAATGTGTCACTTTTAAGACTGAAATGACAGTTGCAGAAAGTAGGATTTAAGGATGGTGCTTCAGGAGTCCCTATCTTAGAAGTTTGTCCTTTCCTTAATAAGATATAAGTGATTGAAAAGACTGAAGGCAGGGCAGCAGTTTGTATCAGGAGAGGTTTCAACGAGAGGATTTCAGGTTAGGGGAAGTGTAATGTTCTCTGCACAAAACAACAGAAGTTAATGTCTGTAAAAATCATATGATCAGTTTTCTGCATTTTGCACTTGATATGTCTAACATTTCCATATGAAAACTAAGGTTTATTATTTTTAAGATAAAACTGTACAAATACAGAAAAGTCCATTTAGTGAAATTAAGATGTAAGCCTGTAGTACAACTAATTTTTAGAGGTATTTTATTATGTCTAATGGAGAAACCTGTGATTGTTGAGCAGGTTCTGCTGTTACAGTTTGTCATATGACCAGCAGTAGGGATGTGGTCCCGAGGGACAGGAGCTGGTGTTCAGTCTTGAGTTTCCTGTTACAGGAGGGGTGGGAGCCAAGAGGAGGTTTCTGGATTCCATTGAAGCCTGGCTGTACAGCCAGTCTGGTTTTAATAACTCATTGCTCAATTAACTGATGAAGCCCTTGGAAGATTCTGTAATCTGGAATAAAGGGAAATTTCAAGGATTCTGCTTCAAGGGAGATCATGAGAATGTTCTACGTGGGATTTGTGTGAAGCTTTCATGGAAGTTTAAAGAATATTCCTTAGAGGCCTACTCTTGTATTCTTAGTTTCTATGTGTCTGGCATGAGGGAGGGGTGTTCTGTATTTTTGTTAAGGGGTTCTGGTTTTGTTTTTAATAGAGGGCATGGACATTAGAGTTCTTCATGTAAATAAAAGTGAAGACTGATTAAAGAGGAAAGCAGGATTTTAAAACTGATGCTACTTGTCTTTCACTTGGAGCTTAGTTATTTGTAAAAAGAGAAAGGTTGGTTTTGCATGGGAAACTCTAATTTGGTTGGTTTGTGTTGTTTTGGTTTTTTTTAACATGGCAGTAATTTATCTGCCTGTAGGAAAATAATGGAGCTTGACATGCATTCATTCAGATTAGATATTTTTTATTTTGTCCTACAAAATCATGACTGACACTTCTAATTGACTTACTGTAAATTTGTGTTGACATTCTAAAAATATTACATTACATTTCTGTTATCTGCAATGCACTGGATATGTAACAAAGTATCTAAAACATTTTTTATTTAAATGGTTTATCAACAAAATGTATTTTCATTGTTTAATATGCTGAATTTAAGAAGTTTTTTCTTGTCCCGTCATCATTGTCATCAGGATTCTAGAACTAGTGGAGCTTCTTTTACCTACTTCCTATATGTAAATTTCATATAGAAAATGAGCTTTACTGCTCCTCCAGCTCCAAATCACTTCCTCAGCAATAATGCAGGGAGCAGATTTCAACAGCCACACCTGTCAGGGAAGAAAAGTTAAAGAAGAATAAATGTCTGTTAACAGAAAACATTAGTTACTGAGAAGTAGAAATCTAAACTGTTTTGTTTTCATGTGGTGGTGATTTGGAAGAGGACAGAATCCATTGGTTGCAGAGTCCCTGTGTGATTCAGTTGGGTCACTGGCAATTTTTACGGTGTTTTCAAAAACATTTTTTACATGAAATTAAACTCCTTTGAGGAAAGTGTGCCTGTTCGGTTTTTGTTTGTTTGTTTTTTCCCATAAAGTTGATGGGAGGGTTGTATTCTATAGCTTGCAGTGCATACCTTCAAAGAATACATGGTATTCTGGGTGAGTGGGGAGGGCAGGAAGTTTGCCAGAATGAAATGGTTGAGTCATTTTACAGAGTTTATGTAAACCTGATTTTCTCTTTGTCTTTGGTATTTTTTTCTCTTCCAATATTAGCAAGAAGGCTCACTGTGTGCTCAACACTGTCTGAATAATTTGCTGCAAGGGGAATACTTTAGTCCTGTAGAGTTATCCTCTATTGCACAGCAGTTGGATGAGGAAGAAAGGATGAGAATGGCAGAGGGAGGAGTATCTAGTGAAGAATATAGAACATTTTTACAGGTAAAATCATCTTAATTTGGGGTTGCTTAATATTTGCCTGAAATGTAACATTGTTTAGCACAGACCTGCTGTTCTTGCTGACCTAGACAAGGGTAATTTTCTAGTGCTGAAAGCTCTTAAATTTATAGTCCTTTTCATTCATTCATCTTAGATTTGGCATTTTCAAATGTTATTAGCATAATAATTCTACAGAAAGCTACATTCATCTTACAAGTAGGAAGGTCAAAGATGGCAAGGAGGATCGGTGATTAGCCTTTTGTTTTTGTAATCCAGTGTCAGATAGGAACAGAAGTGCCCATGCCTGTCTGCCCTTTAAGCACTGACCATTTCTAATTTAAAGGTTTGAGTTTTAAATTAATATGCCTGTTTGGGGCATTGTAATCAGCCTTACAGACAAGGACATAACAAGTTGTTGCTTTAAGAATATACAATTACATTTATTTTCAAAACTCAATTATTTTTGGCCTTTTATGCTTACACCATTTTTCTCTTTTCTCCCTCCCAATCTCACACTGAGCAGCAGCCTTCTGTAAATATGGATGATAGTGGATTCTTCTCAATTCAAGTAAGCACAGCTCTCTTCTTACACAATTTTCTGTTTATGCCCTATATGTTCTCTCATTTAATTTAAATGGCAATGAGCTTTTTCATCTAGTTGCCAATTTATGGGCTTAATGGGATTAAGTGCTGGGCTTCCAAATCTTCAGAGTGTTTTCCATTAAGAGCAGTGACTTGCAGTTCTTCAGTTCATGGGCCCTTAAACACACAGAAGCATGGAACTGTGAAATGACACCTGCTGGCAATAAGCTTGATTTCTAAGCTGCTTCTTATGGGCACTTTAGGTGTAAACATTGGCTCCCATGGACAACAGGTGAAAAAGCAGAATTGAGATTGCTTTCTCAAAGCTCTTGACAGCGATTACGGGGTTATCACAGTGATCTGCAGAAAGCATCTGCATTCCAGTTTTTATAACTCACTCCAGATGCTTCAGAGCTGGTTTTATTATTTTTCTTGTTTGGTTGGGTTTTTTTAAGGGCCATAGTGGAAAAGTAATCAATAATAAATACTTTAACCAGAAAAACAACAAAAAAGGTTTTGAACACCAGACTGGGGCTTGTGTCTAGACTAGAGCTGTAGGCAATGATTTGCACCTTTGGCTGTCTCCCAAGCTTTCAGAGGCGTTTTTCCATGTTCCAGAATCCCTCAAGAGCCTGTCTTCCCTATGGTAAGACAGGGCTGTTTTTCTGTTCAGCGGAAAACCATTTAGTTTGGCTTTCCTTGTAGTCTTGATTGTGTTGCTTCAGTATAGAAGCTGAAAAAAATATGCTTCCTCATTCTACTTTTTTGTCCTGTCATGGATTTTCTCACTTGCTGCACAGTTGGCTTCCTGAAAGCAAGTTGAATTGTTAATTTAAATTTCTTAAAGCATTATTTCGTGTAGCCTTAAAGAGTTACTGTAAAAGACTTTGTGCTCAGTTCAGTGCCTGATTGATCCCGTGACAATCCAGTAGTACAGAATTTCCAATAGTTACTGTGGAGAAAGATTGAGTTTGTACTGGGGAGGGAGGGCAGAGCAGTGCATTGAGGGCAGAGGTGACAACTACTCAAATGTGTGTGGGAGGTGAAGTTACAGCTTTGTTTTTGATTTAACACATCTCAGTTAAATCCTAGTTTTGTTACTTCCCTTTAGATAAGGTGTAAGTGTTACGTTTGCATGCAAGTTCATGACAGCTGCATTTTGCATAATGTGATTCCTAGATCTCCTTGCTATTTTTTGAAATCTAAGTTTTACAAGAACAGTGTAGTTGTTTATGGTTGCATTGCTCAAATTTTGATGGTTTGACTCATGAAAAGTCTTATTTTTTGACAGGTTATAAGCAATGCCTTGAAAGTGTGGGGTTTAGAACTAATCCTCTTCAACAGCCCAGAGTATCAGAGACTTGGGATCGACCCTATGTAAGACTTCTTTAGCACCCTGCTTTCATTTTACTGAAAAAATACTCTTAATTTATGATTTAAATCCTTCTTTAAAATTACTATTTCAAACTCTGTTGCATTCTGATGTTTGTATTATCCCTTGGGGTTTTGTTTTATTTTTTTGGGGGGTACATATGAGTATCTGTCCTCTGTGCCTTCATGATGTCTTAGTATGTCTGATATCACAGGTATATGGAAATTTCAGTGATATTGACAACTTCCTAAATGTTATAAAAGCAGTATAAGTATTCTGTAATGTAGCATCAACAATTGTATTCCTGAAATTTTATTATATAAATTTGAATCATTGGTTGCAAAGAACTTAAACATTAACCTGTATTCTGATTTTAGAGTATTTAATTTTATTTGTACCTTTTGTTTTTCTTTTTACAGAAATGAAAAATCATTTATTTGTAATTATAAGGAACACTGGTTTACAGTTCGAAAGTTAGGAAAACAGGTGACATTGTCTTTTTTTATTTAAATATTGACTTCAGAATGGGTGTGGAAAAGTGGTTGCGAGTAGATCATGTGTTGGCCTTTTGCAAGCTTTAGCTGCAGTTTGCTTTAATAGTATGCCATATTAAAAAAAAAAATTGTTTGTTTTATCACAAAAATGCCAGGCAGCTCATTATAATTGTTAGCCTGGGGAAAGACCAGCAATTCCCGAGTGAACCTGTCCTTTAGGGAGATGCAGCTCTGGAAGAGTCTCTGTGATATTTAAGCTAGGTTGTTGGTTTTTTCTGTGTGAATAATAGCAGAAAAAATTATATGGGGTAGGAACAGGGAGTCTAGACAAGGATTAGGATCCTATAGAATGCAAACTTATTTTAATGAACTACATCATTGACAAGAGGTATAAAAAAAATTCAAAGTTCAAATGAATTAATATTTATAATTGCTAGTATTTAAGAGTATCCACTGGAATGAGGTTGGGGAAAGTAGAATCACAACTTTGTACTATTTTGGAAAACTTTATGAAATAATTGTATTCTAATCAGGAAATAGTTATTGAAGGTAAGGGATGGCCATGGTACATATGTATTATCTGGTACATATATAATAACTCATGTCCCTTGCAACATCAGTGCAGTGTCTTATTTCAGTGGCCAGTCACCCTTCTGGATCATACTTCATTAGCTTTTATGCAACATGAGCTGGTTTGTTTTTTTTCAGGTGGCTTTTTTCATAGAAAATGTTAATGGAAAACAGCCTTTAGATTCTGTAATAGTGAGGCAGGAGTCTGCCCATTTGGATAATTTTTGCAAGTGCTGGCTTCCTATGTTGTCATCCAGATTAAAAAAAAAAGAGAAAAATTACCTATGAATAAGCAAATTGAACTCTACTGGTCTGCTTTAGTTTAAAAGTATGGCTAATGCTTACAGCCAATTTGTGTTTATTTGATATCAAAAAAAAAAGGTCTCTTAAAATGATGGGAATGCTCCTTATTATATATACAACCATATTGGGTGGAATTTTATGAGAGAGCATTCTAACCTGAAACATCCTAAGTTGGAGGGGGGGGATGTGTTTTGCTTGTAACCACATGAAGACAACACTGGATAATGAGAAAAGATAGAGAAAATTGGTTGACTTGGATTTATTTAACCTGCTTCTCTTCTGTTATAGTTAAAGCAAAATTAGTTTACCAAAACTTTCTCCTCCATATTCCCTTTTAAAAGTTTCTGTAGTCTGTGCATTGTATTTTTTACATAACTTTTTATTCCCCAGTTCTCCTACACTGTTGGTCTTCTTACTCCTTCCTAGTGGCAAAGAGTGGTTTTGGCTAATTAAGTATTGCCAGGCAGAGTGGTAGATAGTCACTTATAGTATGAGTCTGGCTGCAGGTGTGTGACTGCATATGTGGAAGTTTGGTTAGATCAATCCATTTTTTGTGAGAATGAAGATGGAATTCCCTTTCTACTATCTGAAATGGTGCTTCCTGGTTAAAATTAGATAATATTGAATGAGTAAGGTATTAAAAAAGATTCTTCGGTTTCATTGCAATATATGTGAGGGTTTAAGGGTAGAATATTTTATGGCCCATGTTGAATATATTTTCTGTCTAGAAGTTTTATATAATATTGTTTCTCTCTTGAAGTATTATAAATTATTAGTTATCTTCTTCAGGAAACTAGAAATGATCTGTGTACATTTATATCAAGTGTCCCCTGTTGTAATACAGTGCAATACTGTCAGCATATTAAATCTGAGTTAATTGTTCTTAATTTTTAAATTTAAAAATAATCTCAGAGGTAAACAATAGTTTCCAGCATCACCAGCTATTAAAGGCAGAATGTTTAATGAAAGTATTTAATGGAAATAATTTAACATATATTTACTGTAACTATTAACTGTTAATTTCCTAACACACAGCATTATGAAGGGTTTCTTACTTCATTAGTCTCAGCTTTAAAAGTAGGATTAAACAGAATTTTACAGTGATGTCTGAAATAAATCAAAATACAGTGGTAGAAGAATTATCTGTTTTAATCTGTTTGCCTGGTACCAGTATTCAGTAATGGGAGAGAGCATGCAGTAATTTCCACTTTTCAGATCTCCTGTTAGCTGAAGAGTATTTGAAGATAACCTTTAGCAGTATAGGTATTGTGCTTCAAAAGAATTTTATTTGATAATTTATGTTACTAGATTTATTTGGATATTCCATCATAGAAAATTACCACAATGTACAGAAATGAATTATTGAGTAATCTTTATGCTAATTTGTTTTCTCAACCTCTTCTTCCTTTAATTACAGTGGTTTAACTTGAACTCTCTCTTGATGGGTCCAGAACTAATATCAGACACATATCTTGCACTTTTCTTGGCTCAATTACAACAGGAAGGTAATAGAAACTTGCAGATGTTAAATGTCATTAATTAAAAGTAGGTAATAATTATTATTTCTTAGAACTTACATATTCAGTCAACTACCCTTAGTTTTATGATTGAAATAGTGAAATAACCCAAGTCTTTATAATGAAAGATAGAGTAATAGGTTGTAATAAATGGCACATCATTGTGTTCCATGTAGTGTGCATTTTAGAGTGTTTATATCTGCACCTTAATGCCATGGACTTATGATTTCTTTTTGTCAGGTTATTCCATATTTGTAGTAAAAGGAGACCTGCCAGACTGTGAGGCTGATCAGCTACTGCAGATGATTCGGGTACAGCAGATGCAGAGACCAAAACTAATTGGAGAAGAGGCAGCACAGTCAAGAGATCAGAGGTAAGGTAAATAGAGATTTCATTTTAATAATGTTCAGTATGATTGGTTTCCATGATTAATGCCACATGGAGACAACCCCCTTGAGTAATTAGAAGTACCTTTAGTGCAACGTTTACTGCTTTTACACACAGTAAAAGCAATTTGGTAGACAACAAGTGGTTTATTTTTAAATTGTGTATTTTTAAGTGGGTAAAAACTGCCTTAATAAGATTGAGTTTTTCCATGTGCATAAGCATATTATAGTGCAAATTTTTAACTTTGTGATTAAAATGGGTTAGCAAATCCTACCAAACTAAGGTAAATAGTAATTAACCTGTAGTTAAGACTAGCTTGTGCATTCTGTCATAAGTAGAAAACAACAAGAAACCCAAATGTGAATTTCACATCATATAAATCATACACCATTTTCTTTTGGAATAATTTTATCCCAGTGTTGTGGTGCTACTCAGTTTTGATGCATTTTGCTAATATAAAACATCCTTGAAAATGTATAAAGTACTACTTCTGCAATAATTTTATTAAATTTTCATAGTGAATAAATTGCAATCTGATAAAAAGAGTTAAGGCTTTTCAGAGGAATTCATTATTATTTCTTCCCCTTTGTAAAGTTAAACAGGTGTTGTAAATTGATGGAATAATTGGCAGCAATGTGGAAAGTGTGTACAGTTTACAGAGGATCTTTTGCTTTAGCATGGTCTTCAAAGCTTCCTGAGAAGGAGGCCACATACTCTATTTTCTGCTGGTGTAACTGTTTAAATAGCAGTAGGTTTGAATAGCATGTATTATAGCTTTTTGTAGGATTATGATTTCTGAAGCTTTTCCTGTCTAACAGTTTCTTGTCAACATGTGCATGGCTTTAGAGTTGCGGTGTGCTGCGAATGTTTAAGGTTGCTTTACAACTGCTTGCAGCTCTTTTGTGCTTTTTTATGTAGAAAGTAAAATACCTGTTTATGTAACAGACTTTCACAATAGAAACGTTTTTTCTGAAGTTAAAAAACCCTAGAGTTAAATTGGCAGAAAATAGTAATTTTAAAACTCACTCTAAAATATAACTTCTGTCTGAATTTTGCTATAAACATGTGAATTTCACAGGCTACCCAGAAGTGATGGGGACCAAGCAATAGAAGTTAACCATCCTTTTGATGGAACAGGCATGTTAGATGAAGATGAAGAGAATTTTCAGAGAGCCCTGGCTCTAAGTAGGCAGGAAATTGATATGGAGGATGAAGAAGCTGATCTTCGCAGAGCCATTCAGCTCAGCATGCAAGGTGCAGTGTCCATCTAAATTTCTCTGCTACTGTTTGTGTTGCTTATGCTTTAGGCAGCTACTGGAATCAGTTTGTCAAGCACTTTCCAGCATGCATCAAGCTCTCTGGAAAGATTGGCTTTGAGGCATGGAAGGATGATCCAGAATTTCCTGTAGCTTTGTTCTGCTTTTTGAAAAGTTATAACTTTCACGTTCCATTGATCATTAGGAAGGAAGAACAAATTGGCTAAGGGTGGCAGGAGGGAAGGCAATCAGTCCTAAGGTGAGGAGGAGAGATAGTATCAAGGGAAGTTAGTCTAGGTGCTTAGTTCTCCAACAAGTTTCTTTCTTCCTCTCAAGTCTGAAGACATATTCTTAAGCTGTATGTCATTTGCTAACTTCATTTTACTGTAATGAGTAGGATGTGGCATGTTCTGGTTTTAGGTAGTCGTCGAAGTGAGCTCTCGGGCTCGTTACCGCAGAATGTTCCTCAGGCGTCTCACAGCAGTCAGACAGAATCCCTTTCTTCAGAGGAACTGCGAAGGAGAAGACAAGCGTATTTTGAAAAGTAAAGTAGTTGTTAGAAAACTGCATGTGGAAGTACATGTCGTATTTTTCAGTGCTTTTGGGGTGTGGATGGATTTCTTACCGAGGTCCAGCTTGACTTTTCTCTCTTAACACGATTTCTTAACAGTACCTAAATTTTACTATTCTCAGGTGGTTCCAGTGAAGAAACCTGTAAATAAGAGGGGGTTTGTTACTGCAACAGCAGTCTTGTGAAGAAAGAAAATACACATGCTATAGAAGTATTTTAAATGAAATCCTATAAATTTCTGTAATTATCCTCCTGACAAAAAATACTACTTCTTTAAGACTGCTTCTGATAGTGATGCTTCTCACGTGCATCATGTGAAAGCATTGTAGATATTTTATGTTGCTGTTCTGGTGTACTTTCTTAATACATAGTGGTGTTATTGTCGTAGCTTTTCCTTATCTCTGTCTTCTAGTGATGGAAGAAATAAAAACCAGGGAGAAATACTATGGATGGGAGGAGTTAGACTTCGCGTGGTAGGATAAGAATGCAGAACTTCCCAATGGTGGGAAAATAGTAATGTGGCTTGGGCTATAATATTGTGAAGATAGGTGTCTGAAGGTTAGCAGGGTGAAATGATGGAAGAGATTTTAAGTACAGAGATTTTATTGTACCAAGCAGCTTCTACCTCTGTTTCTTGGCCTTCCTTACAATGAAATGAACTCGACTCAGGTGTCATACTGGTGTTAATCTTAGTCTCTTACAAATTTATGACACTTTCAGACAGCAACAACAGCTACAGCAGCAAGATCAGACGCCAAACCTACATGATAAGGCAACTCTTAGCTCAAGCACTCAAGAAGCTGACCCAGGTATTGTTTTTTACAGTTACATCCAACACTGAAATATTCGTCTTTTTCCCCTTTGTGTTGTGCTGTTTCCTAACCTTCCTTGTCTGCCAACTTCTCACTCCAGCAGCCATTCAGACTGTCACAGCCATTACTTTTTTGGCAGTGAAGGAAAGGATCACTTTCCTGGAAAGCCTGTTCCTCTTTGAATCTCAATATCCTGTTTCAAAGTGAAGAGCATTGCTATTAGATCACTTGAGTTCTCGCTTTGCTTTTTGTTGTTTTGTTTGTCTTCAGCATTACAAATTGGAATCTTTGACAGGATTTGTGCCAATTATTTGTTTCCTAAATTACTTTTAAAGTTGTATGACCACTTGGGTTAATATCTGACAAAATTACTGGAACCAGTTTTCAGTAGAACATAAATGTAGACCTTACCAGTATTAGGTATTGGTGATCCAAAATTGATGTGTATTATGTGTTACAAACAGACTGTTGTTAGTGGAAAACTAAGTTCACAATGTTCAATGATTTTAAAAACAAAACCAATTTTGTGGGTGAGGTGGAAAAAGGTGGATGTGGACAAAAGGAACAACAAAAGTATTTAACTACAGTTAAGAACTAGCTCTGTGAATTTATTACAGCTTATACACATTTATTGTTTTTAGGAGGTGATATGAGTGAAGAAGACATGCTTCAAGCAGCCATGAATATGTCTCTGGAATCTGTTAAAAACCACTTGAATTCAGAAGAGGAGAAATGACATAATTTTTTTCCCCTCTTATTGTCAAAACGCTAAGTCTCCATTAAAATTCTACCGTGTGAATGTTGCACAAGCAGGGTTCATTTCAGAGTTCTGGAAGCAGGAATGAAAGGGGGGCTGATGGAGGTCAGAATTTAGAGGGAATCTGCAAATACGAAAAAGATCACACTAATTTAGAAAACTGTAGCACTCTTACTACAAAACATCTGCTCAAAAAAGTAGTAGTGTTAAAATTACTGAACTATTCACATGAACAAAGTCAGATGAGTGTAGCATCTGTAACTTACATATAAAAAGCAAGTTTAAATTGTTTTGAAGAATTCTGTATAAGATATAAATGGTGCCAAAACCAGCATCTACTGATTTCCTTCAGTACTAATGGAAAAAGAGATACAAGTAATAAGTTGTGCTCATAAATTATTATGTTCCTTTTAATAAATCGCTCTAAAATGGGGAAAATAATTAAGTTCTGTTAATCTTAAATTTATTTTGTGAGCTCTGAGTTGATTAGAGCAGAGTGCTGATAAGGCCAAGATGATGGGTTCGATCCCTGTATGGGCCATTCACTTTAGGAGGTGGATTTGACGATCCTTGTGGGTCCCTTCCAACTCAGAATATTCTGTGATTCTGAGTGACTTAACATCAACTTTTTGATCCTGCTGTCCACTTTTGAAATTACTCATTCTGCAGGAGAAACAAGAATCCATAGATTTCATACTTACAGTTCAAGATAAAATCTTTAGTGGATTCTTGAGTATAATGTTACTCATGAATCTTTCAGTGATTTCTCACTTCCTAGCACTTTGTGGTTTTACTTTTAATTCCAATTGTAAAATTTTAGATCCATGTTTAACATTTTGGTTTTTGGCAGGTAATTTGCCTTATTTGGTTTGATGAAGTTTTTTATAAATTTTTGTTTGTTATGTTCTTTCTTGTGGAGCCACTGTCTTTACTACAAAAGTAGGATACAATCAATTGGGTTGAACAGGTTTTCTTTTCTGCCTCTTCCAGAGTCTTTTTTTTTCACCTTTTCAAGCTCAAACCTTCATTTCAGCCTTTCAGTATGAAAGAACTGTAACTGAATCTAGGAGAAAGGAGGAGGGGATATAGGTGCCATAAAGTCAGTGCCACACACAAGGTGCATTCCTGCAATCTGAAATGACCCCTGTGCAAGTAGCTCTTTTAAGAATGAATATTTATGCCTGTGTGGATGTTCTTTCTGAAATGCTTTTTATGAGTGTCTGTCAGAATGTTGCAGTTTTTTCAGGAATGGCCTTTATTCACGCACCTTACAAATTTTTATCATGCTGTTTCTGATCCTGAGAAAAATTGGGGAGCAAAGTATGTGAGATAGCTTATGCTATTGGTTGTAAGACATTTGTTTTGATATCCAGGATGAATGTGTAAAAGGGTGACCAAACCTGGCTTGGAACTTCAGTGCAACGAAAGAGATATGTTTCATTTTCCTAAATGGTGCTTGAAATACAAATTCTGTTTACATATAAATTATATGGAAATATGTTGTAGATAGAGTATATAAGCTGTAGTCCAATTAAAGCATTAACAGTTACCACAGGCATTCTAAGAATCTTTCAAAGATAACCCCAAATTTCTTTATCAAAATATTCTTAAGTTACATCATTGCACAAAAGTAACAATTAAAATTAGTATGGAATGAATAGTAGCTAGATGGAAATATACATTCAGCATCAAGTAGTACTGTACATGAAAGGGCTCTTACCTCTCAGTAAAGATTTGTTTACAGCAATGGTTTCCTGATAGCTTAGGATATTATTATATTATACATAACTGGGCTAAATTCTGTTTTCCTTACGTATGTGCTGAATTTTCACCAATGTCACCAGAATCAGGTATGTGTAAGACAATATGGATTTTGACATGAGACTTCTAAAAAAACTGATTTTTGTATTTTTTAAATAATTCTGTCATACGCATTATAATTATTTGTAATGTCTCAAATTAATATAGTTAAACAATGGCTTTAAAAGTCCATGTATGCATATGCCATTTTGAAATGCTGTATTTTTCAGGATATACTTTTCTGCTTTCAGTTTAAAATTTCTATTAAACAGAAAGCAGGAAAGGTATCTCTAAAGCACTGAATTATTTCTTTGCTTATCTGTAAATTAATTGCAGCTTTAATTTCCCTTTTTTTGTTGTGCCATAAACTGATTCTGAAATAAGACTGATTTTTATGAATAGGTATAGACTTGCAATCTGATGCCAATACTTGGACCTTGGACATTTTATCCTCTATTATAAGAATATAATAAAAATGTAACATTTCTATAACTCTAGCAGCCCTAGATTGAAAAAAATATCTAAGCCCCTTGAATGGCATTAACTGTAACCAGGCCGAATACATGTTTTTATAATCACTGAAACATGGAGGTTTGCCTTTGAACTTTAATGTCACATTGTAAGTCACTTCATCACCCAAATCTTTTAATATGGAAGGAATATAAAATAACGATGCCTGAAAAGCGCAACTGAGAGAGTCATTACAGGGCTAATGACATTCCTTTCTGTGTAGAAACATGGTCATTCAACAAAAACCAGTTTGATTTTCAGCAGAATGTCAAGTTTAATGATGAAGGCATATCTGTCTAGTCGGGCAGTTGAGAGAGCAGTTTAAGATCATCTGTTAATTCTGAGTCCTGTCGCTGGAAGGGACCTGCAAGAGACCAACCATTAACTCAGCACTGCCAAGTCCACCACTAAACTTAATGTCCCTGAGCACCACTTCCACACCTCTTTTAAAAAGCCCCAGGAATGGGGGCTGAACCACTTACTTGTGCAGCCTGTTCCAGTGCTGGACAACCCTTTCAGTGAAGAAATATTTCCTGATACCTGAACTAAACCTCCACTGGTGCAACTTGAGGCTGTTTCCTCTTATCTTGTCACTTGTTACCTGGGAGCTTGACACCCATCTCACTACAGCCTTCTTCCAGGAGTTGTAGAGAGTGACAAGATCTCCTCTGTGCCTCTCCATTGCACCCAAGGAAAAGAATAGTAGTAATTACTGACAGTACATATTTTATAACTCAGGCCTCAACTTCACCTGCCAAGAAGCGGTCAATAAAAGTGATGTCATTTTTTGGTGTGCATTCTTTCAATGATAAACAGTTCTCAGTGTGGCTTAACTATGCTTATAATATGTTTACTAATTTAGAGCCTACTCCCAGTGTTACCTTCTCTGTCATGCTGAAGGGTTGGGGTTTTTTTCCCATGTTACAGCTTTAGGCCAAAGTCCATTCTAAGGGAACAGACATAGATTTTTAGATTTCATTCATCCAACAGTTTTACTGTTTTGTAGTAAAGGGTCCATGTGACATAATTTATGGTTTGCTGACAGCATAAATCAAAGGGGCAGGGGGAATGAGACATACTTACAATTAAATATGTTCCAGAATTAGTTCTGTAAGTGTAATTCTGTAAACTGCTTTCACGGTCTTATGAGAGCAGGAGGAAAAAGAGTTGTAATGCAGTCATGCTTGCATGCAATTCTTGTTAGGCACAGCAGGTATAAATATGAGGTGCTTAAATGCTTACATTTTTGTAGACTTAAAACTAATCTCATATCAGACTGGCTTACTCCAACATTTGGGCTCCCAGTGCCCTTCAAAGAACTTGAGCGAGTTTAAATTTAATTTTCAGCCAAGGTACACATCTATGATGTGTTTTAATGTTGGGCTATTGTTTCTATTACAGACTTAAAAAGTGGTAGGGGGGCTAAAATGGCTTCTGCAGGTGTCTAGTAAACAATTCTGTTTCTGTATCTCAGACAAATACTATCATTTGCAAGCTGCTTTATTTTATTACAAAACTGAAAGGCTTTTAAAAATGAACAAGAACATGACACAGTTTTAAAACATCTGTGAAATTTTTTAAAATTAATTACTCTTTCAGATAATGATGAAAACATACAAATGGTGTCCTTTGTACTGAAAAACCCAGTACAGGTGGATGGGATAGGAGAACTCTAGAACTCAGACTTATACAGAAATAGTATTGTGCAATTCATGTTACCAGCATGTCACTTTTAAGGGAATCAAAGTAAGAATCCAAGGAAAAGAAAAATTGATGTAGAAACTTTCTTCAAGGGCTTAGACAGAAAATTATGTTGCTCACTTAATAAGCCATTACTGTCTTGCATAAAACAAATTTAACTCCTGGTAAATCTTGATAGTTACTCACAAATCGTTACCCCAAAAAAAAGAGGAAACAAAGTCTAATCAGTAATACATATATACCTATTCCCTCCCCACACAGAATCAGTTGTTCAAGTGAGAATAATACTCAATACATTCAAAGTTGCTAGATCCAAATATTTAGTTCTTCAGTTTCAAGGTGGTTGTAGCTTTGTGTTATATCCAGGTTTTCATCTTAAAAGCATGAGCTGTTTTGCAATAAACCTTTTTAACCTGTATACACACATTTTGCCTTATTTGCATTTCAGACATGGAGGGAATGCTGTAATATTTAACCTGCCATAGTCATCTTCCCCAATCACTGTTCTTCAGAAAGTTAGTACATGTGACTTTTCAACTGCTTTTACCAAATCAAAATACTTTCACTTTATTTCCTTTGTTAAGAAAAGCAAATAATTGTAACTACACTTTGCTTTTAATCCCCCCCATCCTCAGTATAGCCACTGTGGGAATTCAGGAGGGGACTTATAAAAGAGTTTGAACAGAAAGGGATGTAATATTTAAATGCCACTGTGCAAAAAAAAAAAAAAAAGAGAAAAACCTTGATACTGTCTTTAAAGCATGCAAGCATTGATAAAATTTTATTTTTTGCTACATGAAACCCCCTGTGTACAAATCAGTGTAGAGGATTTTGTAAGGAATTTTTTTTTCATCTCTTGCCTAATAGTTGTGTATTTTAGAAATCTTATTTCAGTAATAGTTTTGGGTTTTTTTGGTCAAGACTGTTTTCAGTATCATGTCCTTGGCTCTGGACTCCTGTATAATTTTTGTCTATTTGTGTATATAACGCATAGAATACTGAAAAGATTAAAAAGGGAAAGCGGAAATGCTTTGTCATTGTTTTGGAAAATGGCAGCGCTGTTCGATATTTTGAAAATGCTCTCCAAATAGGCATGAATATATATGGTTGTATTTGATATCACTTTTTTAAATAAATACGATTATAGCTTCTAATGTTTCTCACTTGACCGATGTATTTGAATACTTGCTTTCCCTTATACGCTGATTGGGCACAGGATCATCAAACATTGAAATTTCATCTCAGGTATCAGTGGACTTTGCACCAGATGTGTGTGTGCACATCAGCAGTGAGGTAGTTTTCTGTTGCCCATAACTGACATTTCATCATCTCTGATGTCTTTGCATCTGTTGATACTCTCAAATTTACATAAAGACACTCCTGTTAGGGAAGAAAGTTGGTGCCCATTATAGTTACATCTTTAAAACTTATATGCTTTCTGATTTTAAAGTAAGCTACTGTTTCCTGGTTTGATGATGCCAGAGTACACGTTCTTTTTGTGACACAAATACACTGGTTTTGTAGCTTAGTCAACCCACAGAGTACACTGGATTGTTTCTGTGCACCCTTATCAAAAGTGGATGAAGTCGGCTAAAAAAATTAGTTGTGATGCTAAATAGTCCATTTCTAATTTTTCAAGAGCAGTAATTAAAAAGAGTGGGACAAAAAGCCCTGTGTGCTACTTTATTGTCTGCTTGCCGTACTTGGTACTTAATTGTAAAATTAACCACAGTAAAAGATATTTTTATCATCCTTAAGTATTTTAAAAGCCTGAAGGACATCCTTCAGAGTCGGACACTGATTTGTTATTGGCATAGGGCCCAAGTCCGTCCCGAGGCGGGTTCGCGTTAATCACGCGAATTGGCTGTCACCAATCTCGTTAATCGCGACAGGCCGCCATCCACCGCCCCCGGCCCCTCCCGCCGCTCCGCCATTGTCCCGGCATCCTCCGCCGCCGCTTACGCCATATCCGCCCCCGCGGGGGCGCTCTAGCCCGAGCCGTCGCTCTCTATGGTGTTTAGGAGGGGTGTCATGGCGGCCGTTGAGGTGGCAGCGGCCGAAGCTGCCGGCAGGAGCCGCTGAGCCGCGACGGGACGGGACGGGACGGGACGGGACGGGACGGGACGGGACGGGA